ACCCTTTTTATTCGTAGCAAAATTGTGTGATCAAAATTTTGTCCCCTGGAGGCTGTGGTCTAGTAGTGATAAAACAGAGTTTCATGAAATACCCTACGCTCTCCTACTTTCGAAAATAGAATTCATTGCTTCAGTTTCCTTTGTGAGAACTCTTTTGTTGCTACAGAAGGAACTTGCCGTGTCTTCTCCAAACCCACTTGCAATTCGTACTTCTTTGTGTCGATTTGTACAGAGGCGAGATGAGCTGAGGGAATGTCAGACTTCAAGGAGATTGAATATCTTTAAATACGAGTTGAAACAATATTCGCAATTCTTGCTTTGCATCGATTCAGTGATAATCAGAAACCACTGACAACCCTTTGATGTAGACGTAAGACGTGAAGGTGCAACTGCTGTTTTGGTATGTGGTAGTATGCATGCAGAGCTGTGCTGTAGTTTTCTAAAGATGTGTGCTGCTTAGGCGCTTTCTTGTTGCATCTTCTCTTATCCTCACAATCAGATCTGAAAATTGTTCTCTTAAATTTGATTGAAATAAAACTCGAAAACTTGAAGAAGAAAAAAGCGATTGTGAATCTTATTTCAACCGAATCGATCGCAATTAAAATCTCCTTTTCTGTGCTTTTTGGTGTTATTTTATTGTGTGGATGTCCGGGTTGCGTGACATTAACAAAGGACGCGAATTCAAGATAATTGATAATATGCGAAAATGCAAGGAATCTGACTCTAAAAATACAACGAAATATGTCCCTTGTCGTCTGCCTCGCAATACACGTCTCTGTTGGAATAGTTGGCCGCCTCTGCGAATCGAGTTCCGGGAAGTGCGAGTTCCAAGCTGGAGTCGGGGCGTCCAAAGGGCGACAGTCTCCTCTCGCGCGCGAGCTGTTCCGACGACTGAACCCGGCGACGGACGAGCAACGAAGACCACTGCCCATTATAGGGAACGTCATCTGACCGTTCGCTCTCCGCCAAACGAATCCCGTGCTCCTAATCCAGCGCAGAAGTTTTGCGCGATCGCACTGCGAGCAAACCAGGGGGAGAGAGGGGATTTGATTACAATGTTTTTATTCCCGCGGGAACGACGCTGCTGATCGTAACATAACTCTGCACGTTATCTGCACCCGTTTTCGCGGTAATTTAATTCAAAATTTAATTAGATTTGCTGTGGATGGAGCCGACCGTGGCGGCGCGGCGTGCCGACAGCACCTGTGGGCACTGTGCACCGCAACGGAGCGAATCGATTTGCTATCCATTTGTTCTTGCGATTCCATTGACCTCAATATTCTCGCGGCGTGTACCTGCCTAATTATTCTCTTATTCATTTGGGAATGAGAGAACAGGATATTAGGGATTAATATCGGTACGTCTGTTGCAGTGATAAAAGCGAACGTGTCTGTTTTCCGTCGGAAATTTATGTCAAAAATGCATCCGTTTTGTTTGTCCCTGATTCCATGTTTGTGTAGATTTAATCTACTTATCGAGCCTCTGAGACAAACGGTGCGTACGGATACGTAAGCCGATTCAGTTCCAATTGGTGTGACTTTGCGCATTTTGATTGGGCCCGCGCTAGTAGTTACAGCTGACTGTATTTACGGAAGCATTATTAATCCCTCAATGGTTAGCATTATTGATGAGAGACCCAATTCTGAGAAAAATATAGTAGCAGAGTTTCTTCGCTTTTTTTTTCTATGACTATTTCGGGCTGCTTTTTATGGTAAATTAGCGTCACGTATGTATTGTTTCAAACAAATGTTTAATCTTCGTTCATAATTGATTGTGGTCAAATAAAAGCAATAACTAAATTGTTCTTTTAGAAATGTACAGTGGGAATCAGTTCTCTGTTGTGCTCACGTGCTTTTTCAGTAATCGATTTGGTATTGATGTAGTATCTTTCTGCGCTCGTCCGTCTGCCATCGGTTTCAGCCCGTCCGAGTGCAAAGCGCGCGCGCCGCGATCTTCCTCTGTCCCTTGGGGCGGGCGCTTCCTCGCACCCCGGCACACGCCCTCACGCGCCGTTCTTCTTCTTCTTCTTGTTCTTCTGCTCCGGGGGCGCAGACCGCGGCACCACCGGCTGCGCCGGGGACTTCCAATGGCTGCGCTCGAAGCCCGGGGCGACGCTGGCGCCGCCTCCGCCGCCGCACGTGCACGCGCACACCAAGCCGCCGTCGGGCAGCGGCAGCCGCGCGAGCAGCCGCGGCGCCAGCCCCAGCGCGGGGGGGCGGCGGCGGCGGCGGCGGGCGGGCGGCGGGGGGCCGCCGCGAGAGACGCCGCGCAGCGGTAGCTCTCGAGGCGTGAGCGCCACGCCCCGCGCCGCAGCCCCCCCGGGGGCGGTTGTGGTTGCGGGGGCGGCTCGCGCAGCAACTCCTGGAGCGCGGGCGCGCGCGCCGCACGAGCACCGCGCCGCGTCCGCCGCCGCTGGCGGCAGCCGCCACCGCGGCTGCTGCGGCAGCACCTCCGCCACGCTGCCCGCCGTCGCGTCCGCGGGCCCCGGGGGCTACTGCATGGCCGCCCACTGCTGCCACGGCCACGCCCCGTGCCTGTCCTCGTGGGAGTCGTGCTGCTGCGTGTGGCGCTCGCGCTCCCTCTGCCGCTGGGAGCACGCGCTGCCGCCGCCCTACTCGCAGGTTAGCCCCGGGCGCAGGGGCCCCGCCGCTGGTTGCCACGCAGCTTCCGCGTGCCGCGCGCTGCACAAGAGGAGGTCTGTCTTCTTCCAGGCGCCCCGTTCTTCGTTTCAGGACAAAAATGCTCTTGTGCCTCCTTTCCAGTTTCCGGCTGGTTTTAAAACTACCTCAAGATTTGTTTTGTGGCTAGGTATATTCCTGATTCATGGAGAACAAGAAGACGAATGATCAAGTACGCAAAGAAAACTTTGAAAAGTAAAGAATGTTGAATGCTGAGAATGTCAGCTGTTCTCGCCACGAAATGAACTAGTTTTCCTTAAACTCCTCTATTCTCTTTCATGAATAAAAAACGCGTTGACTCCTTTAATTCCTATTAGTAGTTTAGAAATACGTTGTTCTGGTGTTTTTATTGTATTTTGTTTTTGTTTTCTATTGTAGTGTTTTAATAGAAAGCGAATAGGAGAATATTCTCAACTCTGCTGCACGTATTTCGAGCATGAAATGCGTGACGTAATTTGAGAACATGCTCTTGAGGGATTCATAGGGATGTACGTTTTCCATTTTGAAAGTTGTCCTTTATTGAGTCACAGTTCAGACGCATTTCTGTTACTGTTGCGTTACTATCTTAATTCTGATGAAGCTGTTCCTACAGAATCTGTCTCTGTGTAGAACGGGATGACTACTTTTGACTGTGTTGGAAGTAGTGGAATCATTAGTGACTGCAATGCAACTTCCGATTCACAGCATTTTCGTGTCTATTGGTATTTGAGCGGTAGATATCTCATTTGCTTTGGTTCTCCGTCTCCACACTGAATCCAATATTCGCATAATTATTCAAATGTTGTATGTGGTCATACATATGCATCAGGGTTATGCGGTGATAGTTACGACACTATATATCATTGTTCCAAATATTCCGGGATTTGCGGATGTTCATGGCCTGAGCATTCAGAGTATGCGAATTATGTTAATGCTATCAACACCAATACAACAATTTGTGTTCCTCATAGTGCATGTGGAAAGTGTACCAGACTCTGAATGTTTGTTTGAATCAAAAGATGGAGAAGTAAGATATAATTTTGTATGGTGTCTTGCTGAATAAATGTAGAGCTCACACACGTACTAATTTTGGAGATAGAGTGGGGTTTTACCTTTTCAAGAAGATAGTAATTGTATTTTTCTTTAATAAAAATTATTCTATTTTTACTATAGTGTGGTTTTGATATTAATTAATTTATTATAATTACAGTATATTTTGTTTCGTCAGTTGCAATGCATTGTTTTAGCGAGGTTTTGCCTGTTTTGTAGTTCTATTCTTCATGAGGTGACGTAATTACGATAATAAACGCGTGGTCACGTGTCTGCCAGTGCGTTTCAAACTCTTGGCCCCGCATTCAAATGCTGCTAAGGTGGCGCGCCGTTCGCCGCCCCGACGCGCCGGGCGCGCGGCGGGCGCTGCGCAGAGGGCCCCGCCCCGGGGCGGCCCCTGCTCCTCCTGGAGCGTCCCCTCGCCGCACGCTGGCCTGAGCCGCGACGGAAGACGCCCATGCGCACCAAAAACAGTTATTGAAAGAGAGCAATACTAGACATTTCAAATAACTAGAAACGACAAAAATAGGGATGTTTAAAAAAATATTTACATCTAAAACTCATTTTAAAAGTTTACCCTTTCGACCGAATAAAACTTTTTGCTGGCTAGTAGTTAAAACTCTCTTCAATGACAGTGTTTAAAACTTCTTTGTAATGAAATTTTCATTCTTTATTAATTATTTGTAATTTTGTGTAGCATTTAAAGTATATTTGAAATTTTATTGAAGTATTTTATATTATCCGTAATAAATTGTGACATCGAACTACAGTCTGTCAAAACTATAACGTGTTTTAACTATATTTTCACGGTCTACTTAAAAAGACCAAAAAACGTACGCAGAAAATTAATATAAAGAAATAAACAATAATATTAAATGAACTTATTTTGAGATCAACTACGACGATCTGCCCATTCAAAAATTAAATTGAAAGTTTATGTAAACGAAAATGGGCACCAGTACCCACTCTTGTGTGACGTTAAATACAAAAGTGTACGGGCTGACTTCTGTTACAATTAGAACTGAAAATCGATTGCCACATCGATAAGATTTTGTAGTAAATTCATAGTAGTAGGGTCGCGCGTGGGTCTCTTCGAGCCCACTGTGCGCCGCACCGCGTGCCCGGCATGCCTAAGCAGAGGCGCGGCGCGCCCTCGCGGAGTTCGGCCGCCACCCCCGCCCCCGCGCCGCGTTGCGTCGGGGAGAGCGCCGCGGGAGGCGTCTTTGATCCGCGGGCCGCCTTCTGCCGGGCGCGACGCCCGTGTCTCCGAATGTCGCGATCGCGTTGCGGCCGATGTGCAGCGCAGAAAGGATGTGCGATCGTGGCTCGTGGTCGTCGACGCCGTTTATTTCCGGGACGGCGTTGCCCGGCGCAGTTTTCTTTCTCGTGTGCGACATGCCAGTTGGCGGGCAGGTCAGCATTGGTATCTTGGTGTCTTCTGCGAGTCTGATTTTGTGAAACCGCGCAGTTGGATGCGCTTTTGTACTCTGTAATCTTATCTCGCCAAGAAATGTTTCAAGTGTACTCATGCTTTGCCTGCTAGTTATTACCAACTTTGTTCTGTTGTTGTGCTTGAGGAGTCGTGAATTGACTGTCCTTAAAAGCTATTTATATTTTATTGAAGTCACCTTCTCAGCGTTGATCAGACAACTGACGCTTCATATATCGATTTTTTAATGTCACATTATATATATATATATATATATATATATATATATATATATATAATGTGACATGATACTTCATTAACAAATCGAACGCTACGAAAATCACCAATTGTGCAGCACCTAGACTCCATAATTTCTACTTTCTGGACAACGTTATTTGATCATTATGTGTGTGTGTGGATTGATCCTCGAGTCCCTGACCCGCGTGGTAGGCAGGAAGCGCGCGCGCCACCCGCTCTGATTAGGCCTCCGTTTGCGTGTTGCAGCCGTCGAGCGACGTGGAGGAGCGCGTGCGCCGCCTGGAGGCCGACAAGGAGTCGCTGCAGCTGCAGGTGGCCGTGCTGAGCGAGCAGATCGAGGTGCAGACCGAGAAGATCGCCGACCTCGAGAAGGCGCTCGACGAGAAGAAGCAGCAGCTCAGCTCCGCGGAGAACATGCTCCAGACGGTACGCACTTCTTTCTCTTCCCTTCCTCTTCATCGGGGTCTTATAACTCCCATATAACGTGGTGGAAATCATTACGGTGGCGCGCTCTGCTGCATCACCTTACAGGAAGTAAAATACGAACTGCTGCCAACGATACTTAAAACGTGCGTGGCTGTTGCGTTAGGTCGCAAGTAGGACCATAATGTTACAAAAGATAGCGCCGATGTTCGAGTTTTCTTCAGGGGTTTTTTTGTACGTGTATATTATGAATAATTGAACATTTAAAAGACATTTTTTCTTATTTCTCACTTATTAGCCAATATTTATGTGCGGAAGTTGGCGAGCCTAATCTGGAGCTGTACCTGGCGACACTACCGCCTCCTAGAGTTTTGTCCCCTGGTTTGATGTAGTGTTGTAAGGCCCTCGTCTTCATCTTTTCATCTTAATCTTCAAATTCCTTTTATTCATATCGTCCCTCTCTTCTCTCTCCGCTACTACTGTTCTCTTACCGATATGCTGGTGAACAAGTACTTTCCGGACATATCGATTTTTCATAGATAATTATGAAATGAGGAGTGACTTCGATGGCTACCACTTATATAAGACAGGTAATGGAATGCCATTGACTACCTTGCTACAATCGAAAGATGAAAACTTGAGCTTCAACCCCACAATCATTCTCGGTGTGGTTTTTGCCACAATCGCCTTATTACTTTTATTATTTTTAATTTGTATTTATAAGTATCATCATCAATTCCGATCAAATTTGGACCAGAGAACACTTGTCGATCCCGTAGCGGTAAAGTTAAATCATAGCCTCAACCACACGTGACGTGGACATTTAGGAAGGAACTGGCTCTGGTGCATCCTTACTTTTAACTACCATGTGAGCCGTGCATGTGAATTATGTATGTTTTATAAAGGCGGCTCCACACATGCGGCATTTGACGATTCTCGAGCAACCGCTGGCCGAATCCCGAGTAGTGTGGACGGGTTGCTTGCCAAACTTTCGATATTCGTTCTGCACACCACGTGTGTCTTTAGGGCACATTAAAGGGAAAGGACATTCGCCGAATACATTAGATGTTCGGGATTGGGCGATGTTGGCAATGGCAGAAGCTCGCTGATCTGCGAATGCCGAATGTGTGGAGCCGCCTTAAGACGAATGTACTAGCACTAACCATGATAATGGAGGAACATGGATCTATGTGGTGAAAGACGCTCCCGCTTTACCAACATCGGCCACCCAGGTCTTTATTATTTTTTTTATATTTTATATTATTTATCTATTATTTCATCACAGAAAATCCTAGTTAAAACGAATTCCAAGAGACTGAAATAATCGGTGTTCTTGTTATAAAAATTTGTCGTGTCTGATTATGTATAGAAGTATATCGATATTACTGTTTCCTTGCCACAGCCCAACTTTTATTCGTTAAGGCAAATTTTATGTTAGACGAGTTCATCATGCTAACTAACGTTTCCTGTATTTATTTTCCAACTTGGGTAAACCAGAGAAGTTTATATCAGCCATAGGTTAACGACGAAGTGCCCCATGTTATCAAGGCTCTGCCGTATTTTTCCAGCTCATAGAGAGGAATACGGCGATTTCTTAGGGTTGGAGAGCTGCTTCCAGAGCCGTCCCTACGCTTACAACGACGTGGAAGTCGCGGTCCAGTGGTCGAGGTCGAAGAAATGCTGTTTTCCTTTTTGTAAATGTGTGCTAATGATTTGTAACAGTAATTATTGGCAAAAAAGATCAGTTTTAAAATACTTTTGTTCTCGGTATAAGAGAGAAATTTGTAAAAAAAAATAAAATAAAGGCCTAATAGGCGCTAAAAACGCTGGTTTAATATTACATTTTAAATAGGCGTCTTTCTACTAATTCAAAAAAAAAAACATTATTACCGACTAAAATTAAATTGTAAAGTAACTATAGAAAGAGTTATTTATAATTTCACTAACGTAGATATATTGCAAAATGTGCTTTATTCAAAAAACGTTTCCGGAAAAAACGAAACTTTTGGGAGTTTTACTATTAAAGACCTTCATATTTTTATTTTCTCGCCTTATTTCGTAAGAAAAGAAAGGATTATAACAGTTCGCCGGAAAACGGCGATTTTCTGTGAGAAAACCTCTTATTGCCCGGTCCTGTTAACGAAAAATGGATAAATCTTGTTCCTACATGTAATAATTACTTCCTGTACACGTGTAGTCAGAATCCATGCTTTGTGATCCTTGATACCAAAAAAGCCTGTTGACAACAAAACGTCTATGGCTGAAGGTTGCGATACCCAAATCGTTTTGACGATTTTCTCCAAAATTGCTATTCCTTAATCGATATGAAGAAACTCGAGGTCCTGTGAGTTTGAAATGGATATTTTAATTTTGGAGGTACTTTACATAAGGACTCAATATTTTAAAAATTTTCTCAAAAATAGCTCCAAATGTTATAATAAACTTTGCTCTCGGATAATGTAAAGGACGCTTTAAAAATGGCGCAGACCTCATTTTCGTTTGGCAAGTTCATTTAGCAAGCAGTTGTTTTATCCTTGGAAAAAATATTAAAGGAAACTAGTTTTGCTACAACAGCACACTTTTTCGCATTATTTATAAATATGCCATTTTCCAAAATCAGTGTTAAACGAAAATGAGACTAGTGCCAGACTTTAAAATATCCCTTCTATCTGTGGAAAGAAATTGAAAAAGAAATTTGGATCTGATTTTGAGAACATTGTTTTTATTGCATTAATTTCAAGCACAAGTACTCGTTTCCTCAAAAAGTACTTGTTTCTTCACAACATTGTGCATTACCTTTTAAAGAGCTTTTTTAAAGAACTGATTACAAAATACTTTGTCTAAGGTGAAAACCTTTCTCTTCAATTTTGTAGTTTTTAAATATTAAGTTTTGCAATTTTCGAAAATACAGAGAGTTTGCCGTAAATGAAAATAGCTCCATACTTTTTTACCGCCCCTTGATACATAAGAGGGGAAAATTGAAAGAAAAATATTTGAGCGATTTTTGAAAAACAATTGTGTAAACAAATTGGAAAATTGCCTTTATTTTGTGCAAAATTACTCGAAAACGACTCATATTTTCTAAAAATTGTACATGACCTTATTTCAAGATTTGTCTTTAAAAACATTTTTCATTGAGGAAAAAAATCCCTATCGTCAATGTTATAGTTATAACAAAACACTCAAAATGAAATTAACTTTTGCAACTTTTGAAAAATCAAGGATTTTAATGTACATTATTGATTCACTTTAGCGTCCTTTATGCTATCCGCAACAAAATTTAATAAAAAAAATTGGAGTCATTTTTGTGCAAGTCTTGAAAATGTCTCAGGAGCTTCATGTAAAGTACCCCACAAATTGTAAATATAGATTTTAAATTGAAAGAAAGAAAAAAGTGTCGCCGGTGAGATCGATTGATGAATATCGTGGGAAAAAATCGGCTGAAGGGTTTATACGCTAGTCTTGAGCACAAACAGATGGATGGATAAGAGTTTATCGAGTTTTCTTTATCAAGAACGCCCTTCCACCTTGATTTCTGACTACGTGTTAAGGCGACTCCACACATTCGGCATTCGCCGTGCAGCGAGCTACTGCTCGTCCATTCCCGAACAGCTGATATGTGCAGTGAATGTTCGCGCCCTTTAATGTGTCCTAAAGACCGACTTGCTGGGAATAGGACGAGCACCGAATGTTCGTCACTTGGCAAATAGCAAGCACCTCATCCACGTTACTCGGGATTCGGCTAGCTGTTGCTCACTACTCGACTAATAACGAACGTGTAGAGCCGCTTTTAGAGGAAGTAATTTTACATAGGAACAAGATTTATCGACCTATTCGTTACCAGGGCCCAGCAAATAAGAGTTTTTCCAACGAAAATTCGTTTTCCAACTCGAGATTACAATACTTTTCATACGGGCGAGAAAGTAAAAATCCGTACCATAACTAAGTCCAGTTTAATTAATAGGTGGACCCGTAATAGGTAATAGGTAATAAATATTAGGTGGACCCGTGCGATCATTCCATACTTTTAAAATTATTATTTAAAAAATAAAAATTGCTTCAGTCAGGAACGAAACTTGGAAGACGTCTAATTACTCGGAGATGTGCTAGGTTCGAAGAGGGAGATCCTTAATAAAATAATAATAATAATAATAATAATAATAATAATAATAATAATAATAATAATAAAAGTAATAGAAGCCGGCATCGGAAACCGGACCCGGATCCTGAGGGACACGAAAACGTGTTTTTAACAGTCTAGGAACTCATTTTCTAGTGATACACAATGTAGTTTGTGTTGCGGGTTGCATGTGCGCCTGATACAAACAGCCCCTCACAATCTGCTACTTTTTCCCCAGTCTCAAATCTCTTTTGTTCAGGACTGAAAAGTCGAACCAAATTTTCCTATCCACCAGGATTTGTGACGCTGTTTTCTTGTAAATGGGTTAAAATGGTCGTGTTTACTTAGTGTGTCATCGAAAAGGAAGATACACGAAAAAGTATGGTTCGAGGCAGATTCTGAAGTGTTCTCAGGGTTTCCTAGGTCTTACTCCATCAGTTACTCGTTTCTTAATTCCCACCTATACGTCATGCTCATTATTCACCGCTATATATCATTGCAGTCATAATCATACATAATGTGTTATCAGGTATGCAATACTTGGGAGATTGTCCCCAGATTCTGGTTACGAAACCATGACCATTGAGCCATTTCCTTCAACCCAGGCCAAATGATAAATAAACACTATATATAATCCATTTCTCAAACTATCTCCATTGTAATCTTCTCTGCTTTCCAGACTTTTCTTCTACTTCTCTTATGTTTTGTTTCCCTCCTTTGTTCCTTTTTACAACACTTGTCACTGTAGGCCCTACCAACCATCTTCATTCCTCTCCATTCCTCCCTTCTAGTAATTATTTATTTATTTATTTATTTATTTATTTATTTATTTTGTGGTTATTATTTTGGATAGAACAACTTCATTATATTGTTCAATTTATTAAATGAATTTACTCAGTGAACCCTCAGAGCAATAAATTATTTTTTCTTATGTAGGAATGAAATTGTTTTTATTATTACTTCATCTAGGGCAATATCCTATTTAATGGGAAACCTTCTATATTCACATGATCATGTGCTAAACTGCATGCATGCTCAATCATCTGGAAAAGTCCAAATAATGTTGTGAAACATTCAGACCTTGTCCAAACTGTAGTATTGTTTGTATTGTTATTATGAGAATGCAATAAAGAATACTCCACAAAATGCACAACATCAATGTTCACAGGAGATGCTGGCACGTTCCTCTTTGGAGACACACAAACTTGAACTTTTGTCTGGTATCTCAGAACTCAAACTCCAACAAGCTGCCATTGAAAGAGAAAATTTGGAATTACGAGAACGACTTAGCGAGGAACGTCGACGAAATAAGCCTCCCTTAGCACCACGCTCTGTACTGCACGCTACGTCCACTCCTTTCTCTTCCCCTTCCCAAAATGCTCAGGTGAGTATTCTTAGTTTCTCATAAAATATTACCGTTCATAATTTTTGAGGCAGAAATTTATTTTGTCTATCAAAATGTTCAGAAAAAAAACTGGAGAGAAGTGTTACAAAATGTTTCTATGTAACAATAATAATGTCTGTCTTATTTGTTTTTAGTTTTATTTGCCTATTCATTATACTGAACTTTATTTTTATATTTGTCTTGTATTCTTTTTGAAATATATTATGACTGGCTGAGTCCAAAGATTTTTTCCATTCTTATAAATTGTATTACAAAAAAAATTATCGTCTTTAAAATTCGCCTGTCGTAGTTCTTGTTATAAAAACGTTTTGCAATAAAATTTATTAGAAGAAAAAAAATTGTCTTCAGAAATGAACTTTCACGTGTCCTTGTAGTTATTGGTTGGAGCTTCACCATCTCCATCACCTGTTTCCTCAATGTCGGATGGCAGTCCTCGCCGGCTTGGAAACGAGGAAATCCCTCAGCCACGAGTAAGTGTTGTTTAGGTGGATTGGCTGGTTTTTTTTTTCCCTTCTAAGAATGGTTTTGCGTGCACACAAACGACTTGATTTTACGGATTTTAAGGATACAAGTTAACTACACTTCTAGAAAAGAAATCCTTTTTGATAAATAAAATGACTGTTTTTTCTGCCACAGGGCTGATTACAAATTTTTAGACCGTGTATTTCAAGGAACTTCTTATTACTTAAATCAATCATGCTAATTAAGCTGATTCAATGAAATATACTTTCAAACAATAGTGTCCCCCCACCCTTCCCCAATGTCATGTAATTTTTTGAGGCAGGTGTGAGATTTTCGTTCTTTTTAAACATCTAACATGCAATTTTTGAAAGAACTTTCATATTATAATAAATATTCCAAAATAACAATTTTTCTCTCCACAGACACCCCCAGCAAATTTCCGTCGCAAAGTGGATCATTATGGTAGTTTGCCACGCCAGCGGACTGGGTCTGGCAGTTCAATGCCCCCTCTGGATCCCAACCTTCTTGTGAGCAGTGGACGAAAGGGAGTGGCATTCGGTAAAGGCCTTTCTTCCTTTCTTCCGTTCCATCCGCAGGCCAGTCGCCGAGTGGGGGCAGACAAGAGTTTTTCATCTCCAAATCTAGGTGATGCAGGGACCTTGCTCGAAAGCATGGATCGCCTGGCCTAGACCATAACAATTTTGCTACCAAAATTTGACTGCCCATGCATGGCTGGTATTACATGTCTAACGTATTGTATTGTTGAGGAAATTCCAAATTAAATATGTACATGAATGCACCAATATTGAATGATAAGTAATATAATAATTGGCTTGACAAATTTTAATGATGCATGGGAAAAATTTACTTTGTTAACTTCCACTCTGGGCTATTTTAGTTGTAAAATGAACTGCACATTTATTTCAGATAGTTATAAAAGCTTTTATGTAAAATGGTGTACATTTTACCTAAAAATCAGTTTAAAAGAACTGAATAGAGGAGATTTAATTGTACATAGGAAGGAAACTAACTAAATGGGATCTAGCATGTAAATTGCTGATGGACTCAACTCAGAAATTTGTTCTGCTTGCTTCATATAATTTACTTACAGAATCTATTTAACTGAAGATAATTCTAATATTTCTTGGAAAAAAACTATGACAGTTAAAGCATGAATTGGCAGAAATATTTCTGTGCTTGCATTAATTCTTACAGATCTTCTGCTCTGAATCTTGCAAACTTCAGTGAAGCCATAATCTAAAATTTTTGTGTCATAAATCACCAATGTTTCATATACTGACGTCATGCATTATTAATATTGATTGTGAAAAATTTACTGCAGTATTGACTAAATTTCAAATGTTCGTTAAATATGCAGGGATGACTGTCACTATGGTATGAAAGCATAAAATTCAAAGTGAATTTTCCATATATTAGAATGACCCTGTAATAATGAATTTATTTGTGCTTACGTATTTCTTTGAAAAATTGTCTACAATTTTCATATTAATTTAATAAATCTTCGTAATGCATATTGAATGAGTGAAAATATGTTATCTTAGCGAATCTTAGCGAATCCTTTGAAAAGCTTCTACACTTTGTAAAACCTGCACATTGTTCCAAAGAGTAGACAACATGTGGCAAAATGTGTTTAATTATTTTATTTATCACTGGAGTAATTTAGTTCTGCAGAAATTATTTTTAGTCTTATATAATTCATTTTCATCTGCATTAATTACATCTTCTTTCCTATGTAGAAATAAATGTGGAAATATGAATACAACATACATCATGTTGCATGATCACGCACCCTAGTTACTAGCCCTTAAATAATCAGATATCTGTACCTCTAGTATTGAAATTTTGTGTATATTAGGTCATGTCACATTCATGTTGTAATCACTTGCAGTTTTTATAATTAATTCAATGTTAAATCAACCACAGTTTATAAGTATTGAAAATAGTTAATAGGACAATCTGTTTATCTGACTATGATTGTATGATTGTAGCTGAAACTGAACGAGTAGTTATTGATGACCAACCTGCTGTGGAGGAGGAAAATAATATTGTGAATAGTTTCTCTCCACAACCCAGTCCACTATTACAACCTCAAAAGAATAAAGGCATCAAGAAAATTTTTGGCAGGTAAATTAACAATGATACAGATTTTTGAAAGTTGACAGTTGCATGTCTTTATGAAAACAAAACATTTCCTAACATGTTTGTGATTGAATCTGTGACTTTGAAATGTTATCAGAATTAAGCGTAGCAATTCAGGGACTTTGGAAGACTTGCCAGGAGAAGGAGAGTTTCGACGAGGTGGAGTGCGAGCCACAGCTGGTGCTCGCCTTGGATGGGGAACAGCCCCAACACCTGCTCCTAAGTAGGCATCATATAAATTTCTCTAAAAAAAATATAAGTTTATTTTATAATCTACATAAGGATTCAGTGATGTTATTGTAAGGCAAGGGGCCTTGTGTCAAAACAAAACAAAAAATATTAGTAATCTGAAAAGTTGATATATCATGATGAGAAAATGCTTTAGTCCCTCGTGGGGAATGAAATGAAATAGCTAAATAATTCCTGCTTGAAAAAATATTTTAAAAAACAATGATTTCTGCTCCAAAGATATGTCAACAAAAAAATTTTATTACATTGTATTCCACAAAGATTGTTACATAATAAATAACATGAGAGAACAAGAAAAAAAATTGTATATAACTCCATGATGAAAGTAGATGATTTCAAAGGAAATGATTGAAAATCATTATAAAAAGGTATTAATTTTCACATTGTCAGTCCAGTTACTTAACTACAAAATTTTATGAGCATGCTTCAAATGAAGTAAGAACAAGTTAAGAATGGAATATGCATATTCGTGCAATAATATGCAGACAGTAAAATGGTTTGTTGGTATTCTCCACAACATTGGTGAACGAATGAAATTGATTTCAGTTTTCCCTACAACCACAAACCAAGGTTCTTTGTACAGGTGACACAACACTGGTTACAGCCCATGGTTTGTCCTGATCAAAAACCAGTTTTGTAATTGTTTTAAAATTTATTTTCCTTTGAAATTTAGGTGTAAGTTTTCTATAAATGTAACAGAATTAATCGGGTTGATTTGCACACTTTTGATATGAAATGATGATTTGCATTTTATTGAACCCATTCAATTTTACAGATCATGTCGCGAATTTCACTTTATAAAAATATAGAACTATAATTTATTAATATATTTGAGGTGCATGCAAACCAGACACAAACTTCATGTGCACTGTGGGTTCCGCATGGCACCCACTGACTCATAATCTGCCACCCCATCGATTGGGTACTTGTGATAACATAAGCGGCTAAAATATTTCCTTTCATTGACTGATGTGCAATAGGAAATATGTTGGTGCACGTGATTTGTTTTCAAAACATCCACTAAAACTTACTAAGGCCACAAAGGTTTTCTCGTAATTGAGTACGACTACCAGACATGAGAATAAAGACATCAATTAAAAACCACAAAAAAGCAAAAAATGCCTAATTTTGTTGTTATCTCATGACAGTGGCAGAGATGAACTGAACATATATTTTATTATAAAATAGATTTTATGCAACATATCTTGCAGATGCAGTTTAAATGTATTTGCATTAATAGCAAAATACAGTATGATACAGTATATTTAGAAACTGTGATGTAATATGATGTTTATTTTATTGTGATATTCATAACTTACGTATAAATTTGAGTATGTTGCCCTCTCTACCTTCCTGGAGGTAAAAAGGTTCCCTAGTGTAATTAATATTGAAGTATTTTTTAGCAGCATTCATCATTGTGAATGTGACAAATCTTAAAATCGTTCTTATTTTTGATGAATTGTTTATTTATTATTACTTTTTCCTTTTTTATGTATGTGATGTTTTAATCCAAATCTATTTCTTCATTTTAGACCTGATTTGCCCTTCTCGCAATGGGATAGTGAAGCTATCTCCCAATGGCTATCTGATCTGGGTTTAGAATGTTATGCAAATGATGCTCGCAGATGGGTGAAAACTGGGGCACAATTGCTCTCAGCATCTACTCATGAAATTGATAAGGAGCTTGGTATCAAGGTGGGGAAAAAAATATATATATGATTTTGTAACTTTTATTACACATTGAATTATTTGGCAATAAACTTCAAAATTCAATGCAGGAATTAAAAGTTCTTATTTATGCTGTTAGCTTTCATTTAATTCCACTTGAATAAAGCTTTAATTTTTTAAAATGAATATTCCTTTTTTAGAGCCCAATTCACCGTAAGAAACTGCAGTTAGCATTACTCTGTGAAGCGGAAAATGGTATTGTCAAACCGGAAGATCCACATCTGTTATCAGCAGGACGATTAGATACTGCCTGGGTTCTACGATGGCTGGACGATGTTGGCCTCCCACAGCACAAAGAATCCTTTTTGGCTGCTCGAGTGGATGGCCGTGTGTTACATCGTCTAACTGTAGATGATCTAGCACTCTTGCATCTCAGCTCGAGTTTGCATGTTGCAAGTTTGCGCCGTGGTATACAAGTAAGCAAAAAGATTCTATAATAATTATATTATTATATAAATTATAATATTAATAATAAAGAAATAATTTTCAGTTATTAGTACTATTCCTGTAATTTTGTATTTTAGCACACTTCCTGCAATTTTAATCCTTTTACTCTCACATTAATGTTGCTGCACATTGTACACACTCTTTATCATAATGCCCATAAACACAGGGGCTTTGTTAGTGCTCTCTGATAGTATTTGTAACTTGGTTTGCAACTTTCATCTCAAAATTGTTATGTTGCTAAATTAAACTAGTGCTCTCTAAAGCGTGAACCTTCTTTTTCTTTAGATCTGTTAGAGCTGATATATATGGAGGTGAAATCTAGCATCCAGCTGCTCTGATTAGTAGTTTTCCATTGTTTCTCCAATCAATACCAGACAAATGCTAGAGCAGTACCCTAACAAGCAAGCCTCAAACTGATTGCAAGCTTTCCTTCCTCTTCTTGTCCTATTCTCAACCTTTACTTTCTCACTCTTTCACTTTCATGCACTACATAACCTCATATCACGCACCCAATGCAACAGAGCCACATCTCTGAAAAATTGAAAATTGTAATATACACATACTAGATTCCTCGTTTTCCATTACAAGATAAGCAACAATGCTATTTTTTAAGTTTCATAAATAGCTGACTATTAGCAATTCAATTGAACTCAATTCCTGTTTTTAAATGTGCTCAAGAGAACTTCTGAGCACTCTCCTGCTAAATGAGTGATTTTGGAGATGTGGCCCCGTTTGCATTAAGAGTGGAATATGTCAGAAATGTCAGAACCCCAGTTGGGGCAGTGCCTCAGTGAAATATATGGGAGATATCTTGTTAGAGAAATCTTCTCAAGGCTGGCGCCAGATCTTGTCATCCAGCAGGGGAAGATCACTACACTTACGGGACTAATTACCTTAGCCATTGATATGCCCAGATACACTAATCAATCAATATCACTACCAATCACACTAATCAATGCCAGCTGCCATGCCACGCTATTGAATTGGAACGAATTTTGACTGCATTTGGCAGATAGATGTTGAACATGGTGAAGCACACAGAGTTGAATTTTAAACATTAAATTATTTTTTAAAAAACAAAAGAAACTTATCTTAACAATTATTCTATATTGTACTCTATTAATTAAATGCATGCTCTTGTCAGTATCTTAATTTTATATTTATTTATTAATAATATAGCAGGCAGACAGATACCTGAAAAACTACTTTCTGAAAACATTGTTTTCCTTAGTGCATTATTTTGATACACCCTTGCATACACCATCATATAACTCTACTACAGTGTACCATAAGTATCTCTTAGGCCTGAACATATGAGTTATAATATTTCAAAAAGTAAATATTACTATTTAATTATATTTACTTCATTGTTTTATAATAGGAGTTTTTCTGACTTTTTAAGCATTTCCTTACAAATGAACTCAATGTAAAATTATTGCATTTTTTTAAACTTAATTTTAAGAGGAAGATTTGGTGACATATTCTTGAAGTATTTCATATAGTTTGTGAAGTTGGAGTGACATTCCATATTGTCATGAAAATTCTGTATTAAAAACATTTCAAACTAGGTGAAAAGGTCATTATGATCTTTTGTCCAATATTACTGAGTGTTGAAGCACGGATTTCATGAAGTGAAGCATGTTCGTCATCTTTTCATCATCTACTTTATGTATAGTGTGATAATTTATTATTTTATGGTTGTAACTATCTTCAGAGTTTGCCTGAACTCGTAACCAATTGCTATTCTGCAGAGCTTGGAAACCTCCAGATGCAATCAGCTAGGTCAAGCCCAGTCAAGTCGCCCCATCTATCCCCAACCTTACCTCTTAAACATATCTTAGCTAGAAGCTCTACTAGATGAGCAAAGTGGCATGTATGGCACAATGGACACATCTTGGGCCATCTTTTCCTCATTTAGTTATTCATCTGGTCTGCATGAATTTACTCCCAGTTTATCCAATGCTCATTTAGTTGAATCCTTTAAAAAAATATTGCAACTGCACAGCATTATTTGTGTAGTTTACGATATGATATGCCTGTTCCCACACCAAATACCCTGCAATATATTTTATTTCAAAAGTCTCTGGACTCTATTAAAATTAATCTAAATGGTTTATCCAAGTAACATTGTGACCTGAATATTGTTAAAAAAAGCAATGAGTCATCTTCATTGAACTGTTTTTTGCCTTTTGGTTTATAGTGTCTACTTCTGGTAGTTTTTTACAATACATTTACAACAATCAGATTTTTGCTTCCATTGTAATTGTCTTCTCTATACCAGTGTAAAATGGCTCAGAGTATCAATTAATGTCACTGCTGTGTCTCTGACCGGGAAGTCCTAGGGTTGAGTCCTGATGGTAACAGGATTTTCAACTAGCTTGTCACTAGATAGACACATTTAAAAACCTACACAAAAAGTGCACTTGGGTCAAATACACCAATGTGGTGCAAAAGTGAGATAACTTTCAAATTTTTAAATTTCTGTGAAACTTAATAATCATATACTACTCTCAAATTAAACACTCATTATATATGGAATTTGTTGAGATATTTATTACATGAGTATTGACTTATGTTCACAATGAACTGAATTATTTAAAAATATTCTTTGAACTAACAATTTTTACAGTTTTCTAAGCCCAGAAGAGGTCATTGAATTTATGTTGATAAAATGGCAGATATAAAAAAAAATCTTCAGATGTATCTGAGTTGGGTTTTTTTAATAAATGTTTGGGATCCGCAAGTTCATTACTCTAATTATTACCACATCTGAGGGTTCTGTGAGCACTAACATTTAGAATTTTTTAGTGTGTAGTAAATTGTGAAAAATTTGCTTAAAATTGTAGAAATTTTTCTAATGCATAATAGTTATTGACCCATGCTAAGAGTTAAGTTTTTCTAGCATTACTCCAAAAATGTTATTAAAACAAGCTGGAAAGAGAAAAAGGAAAGAAAAGGTACAGATAATGGAAATCTAAAAATCCTTTCCAACAAGAGATTGAATTATACATGACGTTTTATGAATGGAGGACATTAAGTATAATTCTTTATTTCCATCATATCTTTAAAAATTAATGCACCTACATTTTGGAGGTATTGTTCAGAAACGTGACTTTGGGAATTGATAGCAATCGTCTGTACGGCAAAGTGACTATTTACTCCAAAAGGCTGGCCCCTGTGTGGTGCTTAATCTTTAGAGCCTGTAGGGTCTTCCATGGCCAGCATGTGATGGCACCCAAGCTCCCACTTTCACATAAAGTGGAAGAAAAAAGTGCTGTCTAGGATGTTTTTGAAATTATAAGCATAGTATTTAGCAACTTCTAAAAACAAAGTATACCAATTTGTGAGTTAAAAAGATCGAAAATTAGAAATTTACATTCAAAGTCCTATAAACATGTAAAAATTCTCAGAAATTGCCATTTAAAACTTCAACCTTTGCTGGTATGAGTTATTGTATTTAAAATTCTTTTGCTAAGTTCCCATGGTGTTTTTATAGAATTTTGATAAAGATATTGGGGTGAAGTAAAAATAATTCAACTTTCTCAAAATAAGTGAATATTGTATATTTTATTGAAATATTTAATTTCATTAACAGCAGTGAGTAAATGTTTTTAAAATAAATAGTAACACTACCTTTATAAGGCATCACAATTATACTTAAGGAACATGAGAATTTACGTAATTGCTCATTGTATTTTATGGTGTGATATATTTCATATTATGATGTAAATTTATCTCTTAGGTTCTTCGTGACCATGGATTTGACCCAAATTGTCTGTTGCGAAGATCATTACCAGATGAGACTGGTGCACCAACACCTCAAGATGTAGCACGATGGACAAATCATCGAGTTATGGAGTGGCTGCGAGTTGTGGATTTGGCTGAGTATGCTCCTAATCTGCGTGGATCTGGAGTGCATGGTGGTTTAATGGTACATGAACCACGTTTTACAGCAGAACTGCTTGCCAGTTTACTTTCTATCCCACCCAGCAAAACATTATTACGTCGTCACCTTAACACACACTTTAAAGAACTATTAGGACGTGAATGTATTCAAGAAAAGCGTGAAGCTGAAGCTACATTAGGTTATGTCCCCTTATCAGCAACAACCAAAGTTAAGGTAAGTGGTGCAGAAAAGCTGAAATCTGACAAAAAATTATTAATAGTAGGTTCAATGTTTTAAAATACCTGTTGTATTGTACATTATGATCAGGATAGGTGTATTCAGCTGTTGAAAATAATATGAATTAATATATTGTTTGAATTTCTTTAGCTCGCCAAGAAAAGTCAGTTCACTTTGAAGCGAAAAAAGTCAAAGGCTGAACTGGACATGGGTGACTTGGTGTGCCCGTTGGATCCCTCCAAGCCAGGTGAAGGCTCGCCTCAGACCCCGCCCTTGCACCTGCACGGTGATGGCGTAAGTCTCACTAACCTTGCCTTCACTAACCATTATAACTCGAAAACACTTACAACACTGCATTGCTTGAAGTTCTTATTTAGCAGGTTTTTGATTTCGGATAATGATTAGTGTTTTGAGAAATTGATAGGAGTAATTGTAAAAATATAATAATTGTCAGTGAATTGTAATATTTTTTAAATATATTGCTATTCTGTGTGCAAATTTAATACAATGAAATAATTTTTCTTTTACATATTTAGATAAAGTTTAAAAACAAAGTTATATTTTGAATCAAACCTTAATTTTGATATATATTTAATAATTGTTTACTAAATTGTTTCTTGAACTCTTAATTTTAACATTTATTGTAATGTTCAAATAGTGAAGCAGGTATGTGGTAGAAACATTGGAATAGTGTTAAAAAAAATTAATTATTGAATTTCTTTCTTTAGAGAGAACACATACCACTGCTGTTAACTTTTGAATCAGAGAGCACTGAACCGTAGTGAGCAACTACACTGTTTCTGCTTAGCATCGTGAGCAGCCAGTTGTTGCGCACTTCCTCATGAGCTGATTAATGCTTTTATCTGTAGTTCACGTTTCTTTTTTTTTTTTTTTAAGAAGCACTATAAGTACTTCTAGTAATGCTCATTTAGGAATTCAGAATGTTTTATGTAAGGAATGATATTACTTGTTGTTGTTGTTTTTTTATTGAATATATTTTTGTTTTTAGCAATGTTAGTTTTGGTCAATGAAAATTACTCATTATAAATAATACTGCCATTACATAAGTGAATAACTGATAAATCAGTTTATGTATCAACATTCTGCATATTGATTTCCATTAGATTATGCTAATGCTTCAATATATTTCAGAGAAACTAATTGGGTTTTTGAAATTAGTGGGACATTACAAGAATACACATGTTTGAGTAATTAGATATCACTTTTTCACATGATTTGGGATTACTAAAAGATAATTGCATAATTAAAATGTCGATCTAAAAAGATGTTCCTGTTTTTGATGGTGTTAAATTGTCATGTGACTTTATTAACCACAAAAAATTGCTTGGTATAATATAATATAATGTTATTAAAATATTTATTGTATTAGTCTCTGAGGAAAATTTCCCTGAAGAAAAGTACTATTTTGGAAGTATTTTGAATTTGTTTGTACAGTTTTTAAATGAATTACAACTGAAATCTGTGACATCCATCTGACTATCAAGTGAACTTACCTTTTGAAAATATTGTCTGTATTTACTATTGGAAAAATGTAAATTGCAACTTACATTATACAACATTAATACACCTTTTTATTGAGTTAGCATTCAGTTTCAGATGCTAACTATGTATGAGAATACAAAAATATTGTGAAAATCATAGAAGAATATTTTTCTTCTAATTTTGAATGATACTATTCATTCAGATTCAATGTTAAGTACATCAGGTACAAACAGGTACATCAACTTAGATAGACAGTTGTGCTTTGAATGATAGAATACACGGGAATAATATTTTATCTTAATTCAATTGCCTCTTGAAATCATAAACATCAAGATTATTTTTTTAAATAATGATTTTAATTGCTTGAGTTCAGTCTGTCGAGCACTTCACAGCTGTAGTTGTGGTGAGTTGTTTATGCAAGCATATGTAAATGTTTCTTTAACTTTTATTTGTCTCTATCTTAACAGAAAGAAGGCTTAACAGAAAATTGGGTTTTCATATTCCTTCCAATCCTGAAATGGTGGATGATGTGCTTTGGTTTCTTACAATTATATACTCCCTGTCATGTAGGTGTTGGGAGGGTCAAAAAGGAAAATTTTGGTTGTCCTTGGGAATATGGAAGTGTGTTTTTTTTTGTGGTGTTGGTCTTTTGACTGCTGTTACTTTTCCCTTGGTAGATTAACATCAGTTATTGTATAACATGGTTGCAATTGTATAAAGTATTTTTAAATGTGCCTTAATTGTGAAATGATTAACAAATACCAGATTTAATTGGTTTGCTTCCTTTAAAAAATTGTATTTGTTCTTTGATATTTATAATACATTTTGCACTCTCAATATGCAAAAACATTGTGGTGGCAACTGAGGAGGTAAAGTTAGGAATTTTCTCCAAACGTAAATGTATCCCATAATATTCAGGTGTTGTCCCTGATTTTCTGCTGCCAATAAATAAATGCATATTTTGAAAAAGTTGTTTATACATGCTTTACAAAAGTTGTAAAATACAAATTGCATTACAACAATTATGTACACATGTACACATTATACATTACAGAGTTTTTGAGGAAAAATGACAGCTGAAATCGGTTTTAAAAGTTTATTTATTTGTAAATTTTGTAGTTATGTGCAGATGAAGCTCCAAATTCATTTTTTGATTATCCTGAGCATTTGATAATTGTAGATCTTACCATCTTTTGGAATGCCATACAGTATGCTTTCATAAATGCTTTTCAGTTACATTTAATTTCATAAATGATTTTTTTTCAAATGTTTTGTAATGTTCTAATTCATATTTTTCATTAATTTCATTTTCTATTAATTCATCTTAGAGTTTATTTTATATGTTCCATTAAAGAGTTAAGAGATGAGTGAGAGAACTATTTTGAATTAGTAACACTTCAGAATGTATAAACAATTTAATCTATATCATGACTTACATATGAGAAAATTCCAGCAGTTATGTTGCACCACCGTATTATTTTAGATATCTTGGTATTGGCAATGATGTAATATTGATAGTAATGCTTGTTTTCTTCAGTTTTGCTCACAAATATGATTACAAATTTTAAAAGCAATTTTGTAACTTTTATTGAAAGAACAAAATACTGAGATTTAGTATTATAGCTTAGTTTGTATTTTCTTTATCTCTTCACTGTCTAAAAAATTGAGAAAGCATTTTCAAATTGAAAATGGTACTCTGTGATAAAATTATAAAGATTTATTTAAGTAAAGAAATATGTAATAATTGACTAGAACACAAAATGGCATATTCTGCCATCTCCAAGGTCTGGAACTTCATGAATAACTGTAGTAGTTTAGTTTGGGAACTCACAACAAAATACTGTTATGTATTCATCTTAAGGCCAATTGTTTGTTTGTCAGAGAGTGAAAGTTGCTTATTTTTTTATGAACTGCTGTACTAATTTCATGTTCTCGTGTTTAGATATCACCTGCGAGCAAAGCTCCAAAAGCAGGGGTTGCCTCTCAGGGAACTGACACCAACAGCCTGGTGAGTATAATTTCTATCCCATAACAATCCCGCAAAATATTTTTATTGCAAATTTCTGCAGTTTTGATATATCAGTCATAATAAGGAGTAGGTTTTTTCTTTAAAAAGTGTAATCCTGACTTTCGGCAGATGTCTGCACTGTCGGCAGATATCGGCTCTGCTGCACATCACACTGGTACACAGGCACACACACACAAAGTACATAAATGCTAAGATTTGCAAAAAATAGATGAATATAAAAAAAGAAGTTGTAATTATTAAATTGTAATGGAAAAGTGAGATAAATATGTGGGGTTTCCAAGTACAAAAATTGGATTTCTTAAATTTACTTTTATAAAAAATCATTTGAAATTGATTATTACCTTATGTATGATATTTCTAAATTAATAAAGCAAGTAAACAAAAAACAAGAAAATAGGAAACATTGCATACAGCACACTGTATTGCTGCAAAAAAATGCCAACTACTTAAAAACATTAACTGCCATGTAAAGATCCAGTGACATATACATGTTGAATGTTTTGTCACTAAACTGATTGCTAATGGAAATTTTCATCTACTCATTAGTGAGAGATGATGTCAGATACAACAAAGACTGGAAGAATAACATATAAAATTAAATTTGGTAATTAAAATAATTACTGGTCCCATTGTTTTCAAAGAAATAGCATCTCATCGACTTTAAAAAATATAATGGTCTCTGAGAAAATAAAACAGTGTTATGAAATAAAGTAATCAGTAATCTCTTTTTGCACAAACAAAAAAAAAGTTTCATTTATAATGCATCAATGTGTTTTAGTGTTAAAATGTTTGCTACAAATCTATTCTTGATTTATAGTGCTCCAATACTTTTTAATTATCAGATGTTTTTGCTAAAACTCTATTCTCAGTGGTGGTTGGTTTTTGTTAGTTTCTTTTTAATTCATGTATCCTTCAAATTTACCTGCCATAAACTGTTACTAGGAACCATGGAAATTGAGTATCACTTTCAAACTTTCTATTCTAAGGGCAGGTTTCAGATCATTTTAGAGTTGGAGTTTTTCTCTTTCTTCTCCATCTTTCTAGAAGGGCTTCAAGACTCCTGAACATGTATTGAGTCTTTCTGAGGTGTTGAAATAGTAGTAATGTAATGTTGGCCAGATAACATTCATTTAGGGTTCATGCCAGAGAACTGTAGTCTTGTTTTAGTGATTCCCATGGGCAACTTGTGAGTTTTGTTTTGAGGCATTTAACCTTTTGAGGCTGAAGCTTGAGAATTCTGTTTCTTAATAACCTCTTGAGCTTCCCTAGTGGGCTGAGAATACTGATAGATATATATTAATAATTATTATAATAATTGTATGTGTATATATATATATATATATATATATATATATATATATATATATATATATATATATATATATATATATATATAATATAATATTTTAGAAATTATCATATAATGGAAGATATGATCTTTTATGTATGAAGTTCTGTAATCATGAATCAGTGTCCGCATGGAACATCCATTTCATCTGTGGGAAATTTGAATCCAAAAAGCAGGGTTTTTTATGACTTGAAGTAATTTATAAATTAATAATTATTCTACATTTAATTATGTATATAATTGACTTATTTTTGACATTTTCATTAACTACTTTCATTATTGTATTTTACAGGCTGAGTCCTCAGCCTCAGACCGCACCAGTACTGTGTGAATCTGTTGCCAACATTGCGCCTGGCTGCTTTCCCAGCAGCAGCCAACCATTGCTCATACTGAGCCTCCTAGTCTTCTTCCATCTCCCCACATACTGGTAGTCACACGTAAGCTTTAGGACAAATCTTGCAGATGCTCATCTCAGAGACTTGTTCATTGTAGTTTAAATTCTTTCAAATAAAATGGATATTTTTTTTTAATTGATTCAACTTAATTTGTTTAAGTTTGATTATTCGAAAATGTGTCTTATAGAAATACAATAAATAACTTCGAAGGAGGTTGTTTTATTTACTTGTAGCATCATTACTCCTTAAGCAATTTGCATTTTATGACATATCTATACTTCTATCACCCAAATTAGTTGCAGGGAAATTGTGATAATAAATTAAAAATGAGAAAGTAACTTTTCCAGTATTACATAGGCAAGAGATATGTAAGTCCATTTGTAGCATTCAAAATTCACAAGATAATAGAAAATGCTGAATGAAATAATTTTTGCAATGCAATTGTATTACTTCCATATCAATAATTAAAAACACATCTTGTGAAGTTTAACTATTATAACTGTTACTAGATTTTACACCCAGTTTGACAAAGACTTTGAATACACCATCCATCCTAAGAACCATTTGTTTTGTTTCACACTATGATCGTGTTGATATTCCCCCCAAAGTATTACCATCTGCTAGAGTTGTTACAATATTTTCTTAATTTTTATTCTTTTTATTTTTCTTCTTATATGGTAGTTTTGCTGTAAAAGGTATTCAGAATTGAGTCTAAACATTGATAAGGGGATGGAAATATTATATTTCTGAAGAAGTGGAGGAATATTTACCAAAGAACAAAATACACTGCAAATGCAAGTCATTGTTGTAATGTGAAAACCCTTTTAGATGATATAAATGATATTTAATTATTTTTGTAACAACTCTGGCTAATATTAACTTCTGATTGTAAATTTTTGAGTAAATTATCTCTGACATGTCTGTTCAATTTTTGCACTACATGAGGCCATTTTAAATTTAAAATTTTCAGATAATAAACATAATACCTATGATAAGATAAAAGTTTTAAATAAATTTTACCCTGAGCTATACAATTGTGTGGTTATCAAATGAATAAGACAGTTTTATCTATTGAAAATTTGTACGTAATAGTTTGCTATTAAGTTCAGTTTTTTTCAGCTAAAGCTTTCTTTCAGAATAGATAACTACCAAGCCTCTGTGGTTTGAATTATTGTCAGAATTTTTTGACACCAATTGACACACATGAAACAATTGAAAGCAACAATAATAGTCGGTATGTGGATAGAGAGGACTAGACAACTATTTGGGGCATTTTTATGTGAACAATCATAATATGTAGTGTAACAATTTTGTATATTTCAGAGTACTTATACATGTTTTGGTGGCACTGAGGAATGGATTATAGTAGCACGACAGCTGTATTTTGTATTTGACATTCCAGCTCTGCTACTATAATGAATACATATTTCAGTAAATTTTAAGTAAGACATGGATGTTCAAACTTATTAGTTGTTTTGACATTGTTGTGCTACTTTTACAAGACAACCAAGAAATCACAATCTGTAATACTATATATTTTGTATTCCAGAGTGTGTAACACATATTTTGGCGCTGTAATTGATCCAAAGAGCTTGAAAATATCTTGTGATAGTCTTGTAAAGCAGTTTTTTTATATTTCTTTTGACAGTTTTTAAGCTTGAATGTCATTGTCTTTTGTGAAATGAAACTTAAAGACTGTTTTTGGAAAACAATTTGTGAAGCACGATCATTGTGTGCTTAAACCTGTATTCTGTTTCAATTCATTTATTCAGGGACCAAACCTACCTTGTTGACCAAGAGATACCAGTTTTGTATGTGTGTGTATATATGTTTTGTTGTGAGAATATAAATGGCTTTTTATCCCAGCAACAGTATCGCACATCAACAGTACAAAGTTAATATTTGTACTTGTGTTGAGTATTGCTTGTACAAAAATCATTTGTAGTTTGTGTGTTAGATTAGCCAAAAGTAATTTTTATCAGGAATCTTCAAAGACATATTCCATTTTTTATGACTGGGATAATACTTATTCTTTCACATCTAACATGTGAAAGACTAACATTTTTGCTCTTTGACACTTCTTCCAGTACTTTAAGGAATAGTGCAGGGAAGTAAGAAATATTCATAAGCCACAGTGATTATGTATTAAATTATTACTTTCTATCATCTGGTTTTAAAAGCGTTACATAATTGCATTTGTTATCAATTTGTGCAGGTTATACTTTTAAAATACAGTAACATAGCATTAAGGAGGAGACTAAGACAATAACACAGTAAATGTAATGTTAGAGCTGAAATGCAAAAAACAAGACTTCCACAGCCAATCTGCAATAATTATATCATGTGTATTGTATATTTATTCATATGAACATTAGCAGAATTCTTGCCCCATATGCTTGAAAGATGAGTTTTATTGGCCTTGTAATGCTAGTCATTAAGAGTTGATTTTTAATCTATCATATTATTATTATTTGAATATACTATTTCTTTAATTTTTCATAGTTCAGTCACAATCCCAAATTTTTGTGATTTTGCCATTTTTTGTTTAGGATAGCGAAAATTGTTTGTACATTGATTAAAATATAAATTGTTTGTATTTTTTATTTAATGTCTCTTAGGTTCACAAAAGAGTTTTTTATATCAGCCATGAGCATTAAATGAATTATGATTTGAAGGACTTAAAACTGAGCATTGTGGATATTTTAGAATTTCATTTCTTCATAATGTAAATGATGTAAAATATGGATTCACATCCAGTCTTTTGATTATAGTTTACCCAACTTATAAAAAAGAAATGTTCAGTGTCAGAAAATCAGTATTCTAATATGTTAGAACTTCTTTTCAATTCTTTTCCATTATTAGTTAAATATATTCTTAGTATATTTTTATATTTTATTTGCATTGTGAATGGAAGTTGGAAATACTACAAATACTAATTAAAATGGAACTGGAAATTTGACAAAAATGTTGAATGTGATGTGTATTCATGACATTTAAAAGGAAATTTTCTGCTCACAACATGATTGCTTCATATTGGTTCTCAGAAGCATATGAGGTCTTTCTTCTGCTGTAAACCATTGAAATATTGTTAGTAATTCAGACTTTGAATAAATGGGAAGTTCTTGTTGACTTTTTCACCTTTCACTCTAACATGTGAACACGATGTTCCTCTTATGAAAGAGAGGAAGTACTTATTAATTAAATGACATGAGCAAAAATTGTCAAAGACATTGAACAGGTAATGGTATTGTCTTTTTGGAGAAATTATTCATGCTGTACACTCAGGACTGAATAAAATAGTTTTGGTTTCACTGTTCCTGCATATTTCTGTCTTTGTAGGATTTAAATTATTTTTAATTATATAATTTAAGTGTAGGTTACATTTCATGCTGGAAAACAATTGTATTTGGGGTGAGTTTTTTCACCACCTTAATGTGGAACAATGTTTTATTGAAGAATTACTTTTTTCCATCGAATAGAAAAGAAGAGGTTTTTGAATGTGCATATTCATATTCTTCAAAAAGATTTTATCTGTAAAGGAAAATTTAGCAACTTTATGTTCTCATGAAAGTACATTTGCAACATTTTCTTCTTGAAATTTTAATTTCTTTTCAATTTTTTGTATTTTAAACATAATTTCATAGAAATTGTGAATGAATCATAAAATCTCTTTCAGTATGATTTCTTTTTTTTCCATACTGACAAATCTTAATCTCTTTTCCATGAATGGAGATTGTTTATATGTAAATTTGTCTTTAATCACTTTCAGTTGATTCAATACTACAACTGAATTTTATTGTTTACTTCTGATTTGTATTCCAGGAGTTGACATTCTAATGAAACAACAGTTTGTCATAGCAGTGAAGAGTTTTCACTGAATGTTACAGTGGTTGATATTGTTGAACATAATTTGAACACAAAGGAAGTGAACTATACAGGGATGTAGGATTTTGCTGTTGTGTCAGTTACAGAATTACACAAAAAGACGAATGTAAATATCGTCTGTTAATTCATGTAATGTGAAAACATTAATTTACAGGCACTGTTACCATTAGCACTTAAGAAGAATATATTTGTTTAAAGGAATTTTATGGAAGTTGATATGAATTACAAAATATGAATTCATGTGCTCACTAATAAAACTGTGTTAACAACAAATTTTAACATATGTACTCTCTTAATTAATAAATAAATACATACATGATACCAGATTGTCCAAGTTGAAAATTATTTTCTTGTGGTTAATACAAAGTGTGTATGTATATATGTGTATATATATATATATATATATATATATATATATATATATATATATATATATATACACACACACACACACACAAATTAAAGGTAGAGAAAGAAAGGTAAGAACATTTGACACAAAATGCCTATATTTGAAAATGTTGATTTACACATTCAATACTCCTATTGGTACTATCTACAGATATTGGTAAATGATGAGGTAGTGATTGCTAGCCAGCTAAGGACATTCCTATTGACATATTTCATATTTCTTTATCTTTGTCTTGTTTTTGGCTGACAGTTCTTTTCAAAAGTTCTCTTCTTGTTGGAAATAAAGCCATTGGAGAAAAGCTCTTATGAAGCAATTTTTTGTAATTGTTTTTCATCATATTGGTTATTTCAATATTTATTTGAAATAGCACATTTTGCAACTAGCTTATAAGGCTCTTTATTGCAAAAGTACTCGTTTTGAAAATGACCAACGTTAGAAGTTTTTCATTTTTGAAACAAGTACTTACCAACACAAGAAAGCAACATTGTAAATGAGTTGCATATGCTAATTTTTTTTTGAGTAACAGCATTATAAATTTATAAAAGAACCAAAATTAATTTGGGAAACAAATTTCAAAAGCAGTTTTGCAGTTGGCAACATAAATTCTTGGTATTATGACATTACACAAAGATGACAGGCAGTGAGGGCAGATGGTGAGGATGACCTGTCGAGGTCAAGCACAGAGGACATGCAATGCCATCCTTTTATGAATGATTTCTTGCAGAATAAGCTGTTGTTTATAATGCTGGTATACAAAAAATTGTATTTTGGATTGAAATATATTTATAAGCTTTTGAAAATAAATTTTCCCTGAGTCCCTTACTTGGCAGATATTGTAATTGACTATTTCAAGAATAAACATATGAGAGAAATACTGGGAACGGTACAGTCTTACATTGTAATATTGAGTACTTATAATGCTTTCATTTCATTTTTATAATAACATTAATAACATTTCTTATTTTCTAATTATTATCCTGTAAAAATGTTGTGAATGACAATTCAAAATTCTGTGAAAAGTTCTCTAAAGTAGGTTCTGTCAGAGCTAGTTATGACCACCTGCTTCAGTACAATTGATTTTTGTCAAATTATTACATTTGCTACATGCAAAATTAACATTGCAAGTTGAGTAAAGTATCCCATGACTTCTTATTGACACAGGTAGCAGAAGCTGCCAAAGACCTATTTTGAGCCCATAATCTGAAAGGCTTCAATTGACAGTCACATTTTAATGGATTTCCATCAAGTTCTAATCTTCTGAGACCTTCTAATGAAGCCAGTGCTTCCACCTCTATGTTCTGTAGTCTATTGTCCTGTAGATCAAGTCGAATAAGATTCTGCAAGGTTGACAAAGCATCTCTTGGCACAGTTTGCAATGCATTGTTGGAAAGGTTCAAGAACATAAGAAAAGGAATTGGGGCAAATGGTCTTTCATCTAAGGAACTTATTTGATTGTTAGCTAGAACAAGTGCTCTCAATCGAACTGTTTCGCTGAAGGCAGAGGGAGGTATATGAGTAATGTTGCAACCATCCATGTGCAGAACAAGGAGGAGACGTACAGATAAGAAGCCTCTATTAGACGGTAAAACCAAGGGGTTTTCTGAAAACAGAGAAACTTTATATTAGGAAAATTGGAAAAATATGAAGTTTTTATTGGTAGATGTAATAATACTGTGTGTTTACTCTACTAATTTGCCTTTCAAAGTTCTTGTTAATGTTTTATTTCTTGTTTCCTGCTGTGAGAAGAAAACTATTCTTTGAAAGTGTTATTAAATTAATTGATGAATGCATTGTGGAGTTGAGGTCAGAAATGCTTGCAGAAGAAGTAGTCAGAAAAGTAACATTGATAATGTTCTTGGTCATTATCAATAATTCATCAGGAGTGTTGTATACTTTCTTATGAGTAAGATAATATAGGCATCATTTAAATTTAATTGTATTTTATAGTGATCGATTGACCAGTGTTTTCCTACTGACCCCACCCCCCTTGTCTACTTTTGCCGCCCCTTCCATCACAATCACTTTGCATTGCCTGACAACATTCGGGAACCCCTGTGTGCTTTCCTTTGAAGCAAATTGTTAAATTAAATATGTACTCATTTTACAATTACAAAAACAGTAATATTTTGGTTTGCTATTCTCCCATACAGTGTATGGAAAATCGATTTCTAGATTGCAACCATAATACATGTTTTGGGGTCCCCTGATACCGAAAAAGTGTGTTTTTCAAAACATTTGTCCGTCTGGTGTATGTGAACAACACTACAAACCATTTAAACTATGCGTAGGATTTTTTTTCAAATTGAAGAACCCCTCTCCATTTGGCCTGAGTCGAATCATTCATTAGTTTTTGGGGGAACTTTACATGAAGCTTCTGGGACATTTTCACAATTTTCTCAAAAACAGCTCGAATTATTTTCTGTGAAATTCTTGTAAGAACAGAGTAAAATGCACTTATAAATGTGTCATATGTCGGATTTTCATGATTAACTCTGAATTTACGAAAATTTCAAAAGTATCAATTTTTTTCGGAGTCTTCCTTAACTACAAAATTAAACTTAGAGATTTTTCTTTAAAATGAAATTTGTTGTTCATTATTTGTTCTTTCATTAAGGTCATGTGCATTTTTTTAACGTTTTAGTAGTTTTCGCGCAATATTGCGAGAAAGTTGTGCAGTTTTAAAAAAATTACAAAAATAAGGTTTTTCTCAAAAACCGCTCCAAATTTTCTCTTTCAACTTTTTGTTGGGGTTGTGCTAAATGCACTCTATAAGATAACATAAATGCCATATTGCTCTATTCATTTGTTTTTTCAAAAATTACAAAAATGTAATGTTTTTGACATGTTTTGAACGTCGTGAATATTTACATCAGCGGCAATTTTTCATATTGTTATATAAATGAGTGCATGTTCTTTAAATAATGCCATTAAAAGTTTCACAAAAACTCTGCCGTTTTCTGTGAATTAAAAAAAACAACCTACTTTGGGCGGCGATAGATGGCAGTAGTATGTAGCAAGTTGGAATAGCATGCTCCATTGAAAAGAATAATATGCAATTAGATGATGTTGAGGTAACACAATTTCTAGGTCTGTCAATTCAGTTAAACCTCAAATGGAATATACATATAACAAAATTAAACACTAAATTAAGTTCATTATGTTATGCATTCAGAATTCTATCAAATTCTGTTAGCCTTCATGCAGCTCGTTGCCTGTATTTCGCAAGTGTACATTCCCGCCTCAGATATGGTATAAAATTCTGGGGAAACTCATCATATAGTACTGAGAGCTTTAGATTGTAAAACAAAATTATTCGAATAATAAAGAATGCCATCCGTGTTACCCTTGCAAGCTTCTCTTCATTGAGCTTGGAATCTTACCACTGCCTTGCCTATATATTTACAAATCTGTAATATTTGTCAAAAGTGTCTTACTTAACGGTGGGAACATATTTTCATGCAATACTGATATTTATAATTACAACACACATCGTAAAATTTCATTAAGTGTCAGTATCAACAGCTAATTATCAGAAATCCACATACAATACATGTACGTTACTTTATAACACACTGCCAGATGACATTAAACAATTGAAGTCGGTTCACAAATTTAAGTTAAAAGTAAAATCTTTTCTGCTGCATAATTGTTTCTATACAATTAAAGACTATACTGATTATCAAAGAGAAAAATAATGTTATTTTAACAAAACAGTAATATATAATTAATTAGTTTACATTTCTATTATATATTTTTTTAAATATTTAATATGTTTGTTACAAATAATGTACTTCATCTTCCAGGTCAATGACCCCCATATCGATCAGGTTTTTGTCCAGTTTCCCTGATCCATTGAGCAAATGCTGAGATGACCCCTTGTTTTGCTTCTAGACATAAATGTAGTTTCACTATGCGCATGTTTTGTTGAGCTCTCCTTTTGCTTGTAATGGTAGGAGTAGAGGTAAGGGCGAGTTACTATTTTGTTAGCAATGCAGAAAAATCATTCTTGCAATTTGTTTACCGATGCAAATAAGTTTACTATAACTCAGGAACAAAAATGTCTATTTTTCAAATATTGCTAATCTTGCAATTTTAAAAATTTATTTTTATTTATTTATTTTAAACGTTTACTCATCTTTCAACGATTTATAGTTAAAATGACGGGAAGAGATTCTGGAACTCAAGAAAACATACGCAGATTGTCTTCTCCCCCACATGTCACATACAGTTTTTACTGTTTTTTGACTAAACACATCTAAATCAAATAGCTAGCCGAGACCAAAGGAATTAAAAAACTATTTCTGGAAAGTCTGTGACATTCTGTTGCATCACTAGTTGTTAATTAAATCTGTTCTTCAAATTTTACAGTAAATAATGTCGCGTACATTTTTTGAAAATATGAATAATTACTGATATTCCGTAATTTTGAGTGAAATCGTAACAATAAAAAAATACGTTAACAAGATAATCTCCAAAACAGCTTCAAATTTCTTCTTTAATATTTTGCTCATATTTGCTCTGTAATTTAATGCTTTCCTGGAATAGAGCAAACTTCACTAACATCGCGTAGATCCGATTTTCGTTAAAACCTACAAAATTTCGAAAAGTGCCAGAGTTCAACATTTTTTCGAAACCCATCAATTTCACAATTCTCGCGAGAAACCATTGTAGCTCCCTTAGCCATGGCAGCCGAAAAAGGGTGCGACAATGCTGACTTGACTCAAAGAAAATGTAGCAATTAGTACGAGAAAGTCAGTGCCATTCACTCTCCACTTGTTTGTATAGTACTACTCACGAAGTGTGAAGAAAGTACTGTAATATTGCAACGAGAAGTGCTGTTTTCGAAGGAAAAACATAGCAAAACTTCAATATTAATTGTAGAGATTTTTTTCTTCCAAGAAATCTATTCTAAATTAGAAGTGCTCAAAATCACATACTTTCGTGCATGATTGGAAATTATTACGTAATATTAAAATATTGTAATTTCTGCCGTACTAAAAACTCAGTTAAGGTAAAAAAAAGTCTAATTCAAAGGAATCGCCTCATGCGCTTATCTGCCTTTATTCCCATTTTCAGGAAGAATAGCCATTTCGTACTTTTAGAAATGAAACGAATATGAATAAATTGAAATGTTACAGTATTTACAGAACATTATGCAGAAACGCAATAATAAATTCACCTTGATTACATATGAAGTAAGCGTTCAATTTTTTAATACTATAATCAGCTATTAAAACTTCACATAGAAGTGGATTTGGTAGTTCAACTTTAAAATTTATTACCTTCCTTCACTCTATTTCCTTTCATAAAAATATTGTATACATCATACAACCATTACCAACAACAATGGGATGAATTACAAGAATTTTGAAACCTCTGTGTTGCAATATTCCGAACTGACAACGCGCCAAGTTCGAATTTATAATTCCGAACTGCATATTTCGAAAATCCAGAGTGTGCCGAAAATAGGACAATCATCACAATCTTTACAGTTCTTTGCTACATGCGATGATAAAAATGAAAGACAAAATGTGAAGTTGTTTCGAAGAAACGTGCTAAAAATTGTTTTAAAAGCGCCTATGTTTCTTCTAAAATTACGCAACTAATTACTCATATTTTCGAAATATTTAATATGACCTCTTTAGAAGAACTGTTTTTGAATACATTTCACGAAAGAAAAAATTGTATCTTCAAAATTGTAGGTGTAGAACGACGGCGAAAAACTTTTGAATTTTTGCAAATTTCGGAAATCAGGGTTTTTAACGAACATGAAACTGATACCATTCTCTTAAACGTCCTTCACATTATCCAACAACAAAATTTAATAAAAAAACAATTCAGTCATTTTTTTACATTTTGAAAATGTCCCAGGGGCTTTCTGTAAAGTACCCCCCAAAATTAAAATATCGGTTTTCATTCGATTTTTCCGTATCAAGGAACCACAAAACATGGATTGTGGTTGTACCAGGTGAAAGATTTTTTTCTAAATCCAGCAACTGGATTTATCCACCTTTTCGTAACTAGGGCCCGGCAATAAAAGTTTTTCTGCCAAAAATTCACCGTTTTTCCCCGCAGTATTGCATAACTTTATCTTACAAAGTGCCTTCTTAACGGTGAGAAAGTAAAAAGTAGATATTTCAATAAAACCATGATCACTTTTTTGGAAAAGAAAGTAGTTTTGACCTAATTTTTGCTTGAAATAGAAGCAATATATCTTTTTTCTCAAAAGCGGTTCCAATTTTTTTCTCTTATATTTCCCTTGAATAGAGCAAAGGGCTCTTAAAAATGGCGATAGATTCACATTTAAACTCTCTGTATTTTCGAAAATTGCAAAAGCTACAAAAATGTGAAAAAGTATGAGATGTAGCACAACTAGTACTCCAACAGAATCTCACGAAAATAGTTTCTCTGCCGAAAATACGACACTTTTAGCGGTAACATTATTATACTTTTCTATTTTAGGAGTGCGTAAGTAGTATATGAGAAAGTAAATGTGTTATGACCGATATACATTCAGTTTGAAACATATGTTCTTGCCTGATCAAAAGTAAATTTCTAGATGCAGAGTCATTGCAATTGTTCTTCGTTGACGATCTTGTA